CATTAATCCAGATCTGTAAAGTAACTAAAGGTATAAAAGACATGGAGAGGAGTAAAAGTACATGATTTACCTCTGAATTGCAGTAGAGTAGAAGCTACCTCAAAATGTACTTAAGTACAGTCGTTCTTGAGTGAATCTACTAGTTACTTGACACCAAAGCAAAACAGCCTGAAGACAGAATCCAATGATAGTTATCCAAGTGATAGCCGGTTACATAACTAATGAAAGAGTCGGGGGTCATGCAGATGTGTGTTTACAGTACAGATTTTCAGAGGCCCCTCACTCCACATGTGAACAACGGAACTTTCGCTTTTAAATAAATCGTGATTCCATCTTCTTGACGCCCGGGCAGAAGAAGGGATTGTGCAAGTTGACTTGGCAGCAGTCCTGCAGGAGGCCGACATCTGGAGAGCATTAGGTCTGGAGGAGACGTGAAGCCAGGCACGGAACGGCTCGGCTCGGCATATCAAACTACGTGTCATTAACGCTGTTTTCCCCCTGGTTCTTAAACAGGTTGCAGGTTACTGACCAGACCCTGCTCTAATGTATTCTCTTTTATTGGCTGCGATTTCACACGGGAATGAAAATGGTAAATAAGCATCCTGATGTGACAACATGACGGAAAAATAGAGTGACAACAGGAGGAGGCCTGCAGTGCATTCTGTAGGTTAGTGTGCACTGTGCAGGTCTGGATGGAAACGGGCCTCTGGAGCCACGAAAACAAAGGTTTTTAAACACAACATGAATGTGTTTTTAAGGAAATCTGCAGCGGTGATTTGCACAGAAATGCAGCGAAATGCAGCGGAGATATTGCTTGTGAATAGGTGCATGTAAACGCCTCACAGAGAGCACAGCATTAGCAAAGAAAGACGCTGATTGTTTGAATTCGCAAAGCTGGTTTATAACAATTAAAACACCTAGATAAAAGACATCTGTAGCTGCACAGAAACCGAGGATGGAGCCATGCGCAGCACCACGGCTCTCACTGGTAACACGGATTTATTTACCGCTGCCCTGTCGACAATGAGCCTCCCACACACACACACACACACCCACACACACGAGCGCGCGCGTCTTTACCTGCAATCGCTCCGACGCAGGTTGCCACATATTCGCAGTCTCGCAGGTTCTCTGTGTCTCACTACAGCGTGTTCTCCTCCCGGGGTCCAGCTCACATCTGTGGGCTGTCTCGGCTCTTCTCTCTGTCCCGCTCCGGTCTGCGAGGCTCGGTCATGAAGGATGTGTTGCTCCGCCTGGCTGCAGTGCTGAGAGCCGCCGCCAGGTGGAGCTACCTGCCCCGTGGCGTTCAGGGGGTGCAGGGAAATCAAGGCTCCGAGCATGAAGAGTGCAGACAGTGAAAGTGTTGTTTTGAGCTGTTTTATGTTGGAAAATCAGTGTACTGCAAGTCTTCGGTTCAAATCATTTAATGACAGTTAATAATATGAGTACAATCACGAGACATAATCGAAATATATTAATGTATAAGCTAAGCTAATAGAAAGTATTTAAAATGTTAATTGCTAAGACATGGAGAATTGGATAAAGAATGTATTATTATTATTATTATTATTGTTATTATTATTATTATTATCACTATTGTTATCATTTTCTATTAATTATTTATTACTATTATGATTATAATTATTATTGCCTGTAAATTGTTGTGCCATATCACTGCTCATTTTCAATATGCTCACGTGAAATTATTACTTTACAATCTATTAAAACAATTGTTTAACGCTATCAGCTCTTTCAATGTTTTCAGGTTTACCATTTAAAATACTGCTATTAATTTTTCACCATGGTGATCTTATTTCCTTCAGCGACTTTCGGAATTGTATTCCTTTGTAGACCGCTTACATGCACAAAAAACATATATAACCGACTAGAGGAAAGGGAAAACCCCAAAAGGCATAATAGTCCCTCTTTAAAGCAAACTGAGTTCCTTAAATGGTCTCCACCCTAAATGATTCTCTGTAATACTTATCTCTTGAAAATAAAAATGACCATCTTCTCCAGTGACATAGTGGTAGGAAATGAGCTGCTAAAACAATCAAGCAGCCAATATAATACATATAGAAGTATTCATTTTCGTTTAATGTAAAATCAACATGAAACATGAATGATTTTTCCGCTGGCATTATGATATTGAGCTTCATTATTTATTAAAAAAAAGACTTCAAGGCCTCAGAGGATGAGTCATCCAGACCGAAGCAGCCAGCCAGCGCAGGAATGCAGTTAAAATGGAAATGATCTTATAAAAACTTAACATAAATAGCGTGGCATTATTTCAGTGGTTGGTGGTTTTTGGAAATAGTGGTTTGTTTAATTTCTCCATTCTCATTATTCCCAAGTTTCACAAAGGCGGCTGGACAGAGTCTCTGTAGTCGTGCAGACACATTTTGATCTGCCTAATCTTCTCAATAACAAGTCAAGTTGTACCAAAAACAAGCAGTCCTCCTCCCGCCTGATTTCAAATAAGCTAGGTTTTTGTGACCTTGTTATTCTAAAAGTGCGGTCTGGGAATCCGCTGAAGCATCATGCATTATTTGTGGGAAATGTTGAATGAATTTATTCTCCTGCTTCCAGGACGCTTTGACCGTAAATCCTGAAATATGAAAAGTGATATAGTTTCTGATGAAACCACAGCCAGGAGAGACAATCTCAGTTTATCAAAGGGAAGGCCTTGAAGGAGACGTATAGACTCTCTGTCAAAGCTATGTTGTGTTCAGGGACCCGTGTCAGGCCAGTTTGGGAATACTCTGACCCTCCAGGGCACACAGGGGTCAAAGGTCAAGCACAAGGCCTCCAAAGCAAACCATAAGCAAAGGTGAGAGCCATCAATAACATCTGGTGCTTGTGTGTGTCTGTGTGTGTGTGCGTGTGTGTGTGTGTGTGTGCGTGCGTGCGTGCGTGTGTGTGTGCGTGCATATGTGTGTGTGTGTGTGTGTGTGTGTGTGTGTGCGTGTGTGCGTGCGTGTGTGTGTGTGTGTGAGTGTTATATGTAGGTGTGTTTCTCAGTCTGTATTTAGAGATGTTTACATGAGGAAGCATCGGATAAAGCCTCAGGTCACCAGAGTGTGTTCTCATTACCAACACTCCATAAAAGGCTTTTCCACGATGCAGTCTGGTGGGTATGACCTTGGGACTTTGTAGAACACAAAACTGCTGTTGATTCTTCTTTCTTGTTGGTTTTGTTTCATATTTTAAAGAAATACCAAAACAATAAACAGGACCCATGCATTCACAACAATTAGATAAGTTCAGACCAACACTCATTGCAGTATGTCATCTAATCATGGCTGCATGGGTTAAAGGAAAACTGCCTTACTGACACCATATTTTGAAATAAAATGGTCACTAGTTTACGGAGAGTCATCTTTCTTTGTCCCTTTTGAATCATGTCATGAATGAATGAATTCATGTTTGTTAGATCATTTTGAAGGTCAAGAAAGTCAAGTTTGCGCTAAAACTGTTAAAGCATAATGCTGCGTTCACACCGGATGCGATGTTTGGGGGCGGCGCGATTACATGTAAAGTCAATGCAGAGACGCGGACAGACGCGAATTCGCTCCGACGGCGCGTATGAAGCGGTTGTAGCGAATGGCGCGGCCTGATTGAGGCGACTGGAGGGGGCCGCGACAACCGCTCGAGTTCAATTTCTTCAACTCAAGCGTCAAATTCGCGTGACGCGATCTCGTGGTAGCCAATCAGCGGTGAGGATCTCAGCCAGTCGTCACTGATGTTGAACCAGAAAACCAAAACATCAGCCGTTAGCCGTTAGCTAGCTGTTAGCCCTCAGAGCTCACAGCTCCTCATATCTGTTCAGAAACTAGACAAAAGTTAAACAAGTACAAACCACAGACTGTCTGTGTCATGGAGAATACAGTCGCTGGTTTATTTATGTCTGTATGCTGTGAGTGTGGACGGTCGGAGCATATACAACGTTAGCTTAGCCTGATCGATCCGATCTCCATTCAGAAAACACGCATTTTAAAAGCTTTTTCCCCTTCGTCTGTCTGCAGACTTGTCAAAGCATTAATTCATGGTTTTTACTAACCGGTATCAGTATGTTGTTACTTCGGCATCATTTTGAAACGTGTATTACAATTAACTCACGGTCAAATATGTTAATTGTATTGTAGTTGTAGCCCCCAAGCCAGCGCGTCTTGTTTGAATGATGTGAGTAAACAGCTGACAGCCGTGGTGAAAGTCGAGCGATTAGAGCGAAGCGAATATTCGCATCGCGTCCGGTGTGAACGCAGCATAAGACTGTTACAATACAGAATTAAAAAGACTACACAACCAGAACTAAAACACCTGGGTTTGGTACAGGGATGTACTCTAACGGTCACCATGACTTGCTTGTTCATTTACTGCTTTTTAGTTGATAAAAACACTACAACAGTTGATAAAAAACATCAGATAACGTTGCATTTGTGTGTGGAACATACAGTAGCTAAGTTACCCAGCTGGCTAGCGCAGGTGACATATACGAGAAAGGAGATGTAGTTCACTAAGCTGTATCTCACAAAACTAAATGGAAGGACTCGACTTTCAAAATGATGTTTTAAAGAGGCCCTGTTGTGCTTTTTGGGTTGACCTTTTCCTGTAGTGTGTAATACAGGTTTTAGTGCATGTACTGTAAATGGTCTGCAAAGGCTGAAATCCCTGTGTTCCCTCCATTAGACTCCTTTGTTTACCTCTGGAACATAATGACATCACTATGTTACACTCACACTTCTATTGGCTAGTGCTCCAACACATTGTGATAGGCTAAGGGGTTGACCAATTAAAGTTAATTAGAAGTGGGAAGTATTAGGAAATGGAAATACTAAGATTGATTACAAGTACCTCAAATATGTATTTTAGTACGGTAATAAGTACATTTACTTCATTGCTGTCCAAAAGTGCCCACATAAGACGAATGTAGTGCAATGTTCCCCCCTGCTGTCGTCACTGCAGAACAACAACAACACATGAGACACACAGACGCCTTCTGTTGTTCACTTGAATCTTTATTGTTTACATCATTCAACATAGATAATAAGTGACCATGTGGCCAATGTGTTTAAAATGAGAGAGAAATCAAATGAGCTGAGCCTATTGGTAAAACATTGCTTGACCTTGAGAGGAACAACACAGCTGCACGGACAGAGCGTTTTCCAATGGCAGGACACAGAAGCACATTTAAATCACCCTCCTCTTCTTCATCTTCCTCCTCCATTACATCCACCCTAAAGCCAGTAAATAATCACCCAATTCAACACCGTCAATACTAGAGGTGAATGTGTACACTGATTAAAACCAACTATTTGTCTGTTTCTTGAGAGATATACCTACCTATTATCCTAAATATCACTGATATACATACAGCAGGATGGTAGGGTCACAGTACTTCTGTAAACTTTCTTTACTAATCATACACCAATGAAAAAACTTGCATGTAAAGACGATATGTATTTTAAAAAAAGAAAAACTGTGACTAGTATTTTTATACATGTGTATATTTCCTCTACTAACCACAAATCACCCCCTCCCAAAAAAATATTTGGTACAATCTTGAGAAAAAACAACAACAACCAAGTACAAAGGATTTGGAAATAATACAGAGAACATCTAATCTAACCATGCACGAAGTAAGGCAACCTACTGCAGATTTTTTTTTTTTAAGATATAGAAAAAGATACAGTGTATGCACCGAGAGGAGTGCATCTATGTCTACCACACCATCAGCGCTGCCTGCTGAGATTACACGTAGAAATGTTGGGCCGTGGGTCGCAGACAGACAGTCTAAAGTCATCTCTCTTGTACAGCAGAGCTTACTGGTAGTGTCGTCAATAACTTAATGCATCGTATGCTACAATAAAGCCTTATCGTGGACTTTGACAGGAAAATAGATGTATCAAATTCCAGATTTTTTAAACTACAGAGTATGTTTTTTTTTCCTAACTATACATTCAATTTTGTTCTGCTGTTGTTTTTTTTCTTAAGAAATACTTCAAGATGTATACTGACGTTCTGTTTATATATGTGTGTGTTTGTGTGTAGCTTGTGAAAGGATGGTTGTGTTTTACAAATCCTTGGTCTTGATGAGGGTGACCAGAGGCTTGTCGTCAGGACTGTAGTCCTCGTAGGCGATGGGAGTCGCATCGTACATGGCAGGCTTGGCCTTCTTGCCAAATCTAAAAAAAATAAAGCATGACAGTGCTCGTTAGTACATAGATGGACAGTAACTAAGTACAATTACGCATGTACTGTAGCCTACTTACTTAAGTACAATGTTGCACTTGAGTATTTCCATTTAAGCTTTAGTAAGCCTACTATTCAGATTCTGCATTTGATACATTTCTATCATAATGTATTTATAAACTAACTGCACTGCAAAAACGCCCTGTCAAATTTAAGGCCAAACGTTCTAGATATAAGCATGCTTGCACTTAAAACAAGCACATTTGGCTGCCAGTGCAGTAAGCAAATTTCACTTGATAAGATGTCTTAAAACAAGTCAGGCTGTCCGACTGTCATTATAGCACATAAAATCTTGAAATAAGATTAAAAAGACTAATTTCAAGCAATCTAGTTAAGCCTATTTAATGCAAAAGAAGCCTATTATCACTCAAAACTAGGGTACTTTTAGCATCATTACTTGAAATAAGATTAAAAATACTAATTTCAAGCAATCTAGTTAAGCCTATTTAATGCAAAAGAAGCCTATTATCACTCAAAACTAGGATACTTTTTAGCATCAAATTATTTAAAATGAGATTTATGAATTTAGGGAGGCGTGTGGCGCAGTGGGTAGTGTGTTGTTGTTAGGATAAGGGGGTCACAGGTTCAAACCCCACTGCAGTCAGCATGTCGTTGTGTCCCTGAGACACTTCACCCCAAATTGCTCCTTTGGGGATGGCCCACAGTATTGAGTATGTAAGTCGCTTTGGATAAAAGCGATAACATGTAATGAAATTCTTGTTAGGGAGCTAAATTAGAAAACATGCTCTTAAAATAAGTAAACATGACAATTCTCTCAAAACACGTTTTTATTAAGTCAGTCCTGAACCAGCAGGATCATTTTTCAAATGAACAAAGCTCTTCAAAATGTATACATCCTCATAGAACTGACAAAGATTGGACAAAGAAGTTCTCTACTTTTTTGTGAATTCTCCCCATTCAGCTATTGCTTTTTTGTACGAATGAGTAAGGTCACGCTCGTGAATACTGTCCTTCAGTACCTCAGTCTGGATGACGGATAAGAGAACACATTTGGGGTAGGTGAGGTGGAAGGTGTAAAAACACCCCATCAGGATGAGTGGAGCCTCGTGGATCATTTCCTTAGGTAGGATCATCAGTGTTATTTTGCCAACAGCCAGGAGGAGGTTAATAGAGTCTAGGATGACTGGACTGGTGATGGGCCGTTTCTGGAGAAACGTATTGGGGTCCTCGGATGGCTGAGAGCAACAAAGTAGAGACAAAAAGTAGAACAAAATTAAACATCATGGTATATCAAGTTTTATTTCAGTTTAACTGATACTGACTCAGACTCACCTCAAGAACATGGAACAGTGCCCTACTTCCTGACCCAAGATTGGGTGGGGCAGTTGGGGAAGGAAACATTGAGGGAAGTGCCTTCATCAAAGCTATGGCTGGTCCAGCTGAAAAACAATATGGATACATCAAATGCATTGTGCTTGTTTTTGTTTGGCAATTTAACTTTGACATTAAGTGTTGCGTAACTGAAAAGTAAGCACAAAAGCAAAAAAAAAAATCTGTGCAGAGCCCAAGGGAGTATAAGCTAATCATGGAAAAACTATGCTGTCGGTGAATGACAATGTATATGTGTATCCCTGAAGCGACATTAATCTTAATGTCACCTTGGAAAATTGTACATAAACTGGTGCTACTTCTTTTTTCAAAATTGGCCTGAATGTTGCGCTAAGACAGAGATCGTGGGATAACCAAAATCAAACGATTCTCCTAGGGATATTGAATGTGCACAGCGAAATGAATGAGTGAAATAAAAACCATTGCAGTTATTGGATCAGCAAACTGAAAGTTTGGCTGGATAGTAGGGGGGCAGCGGTCGGGGTGAATCTATAATATCATCAGGGGATATAGAAAGCACTTGTCAGTTGCACAAGAGAAAACAAAACAATAAGGGTCATCTGTATGCATGACAAAAGGTAGTAGTGTTTAAACCCTCTGGTGACCACTACTACCTTAAAACTACAATTTTGCCATAATTCAGTCATCAAAAAGGAGATCCTGTCCTATCAAAATAATGAAAATAAGCTAAAACAATCACATCCCATGCAGCCATTAAATGGTCACCCCCAACCTATATAACATCAGTGTTATCTATATTTGCATTATGCTTACATTTATCCAGACCCATTGGTGGCTTCAACGACTTGTTCCACACTCCAAAGAACAGCGCATTTTTGCAAAAGCTTTCCCATCTGGCTGATCTGGTCAGTGAAGTTCTTGTTGCCTGCCTCTAGAATTCGGCCCATCTCGTCCAAAACCTGAGTGTAAAAATCATTAGAACTTTGATACAGAGAAAACAGCAAACAGATGTTAGATGTCTAAATAATTAACAAGAGATTTACCTTTTAAGAGTGACACAGTTGTGTCATCAAATCTATCCATCTCACCATAAAGAAGCAATCTGTAATTTCAGGAAAAGACGGCCACTGTCATTTAAAAAATCAACCCCAAAAAAAAAATCACATTAAAAAGGCATCAGACACTAAATTGTAAAATTGCTGTGATTCACTATGAACTAGCTAGGTTGACATTAGCTAGTCTACCACCACCCTTTGCATTTTTAACTAAGTGCTAGCTTTTAACAGATACAATTACTGAATACCAAAAGAAAACTTATGATATTAACGTCGGCTAATTTTGTATTCCTTACAGACAGTATCTGAGAGTAGTTAACGTTAGCTAGCTTAATTTTTACATACCCCATTAGTGAGGTTAAGGTTAGCTAGCAACACGTGCTTCATAGTTAGCAAGAAATCTTCTAATTCACTAACAGTTATACGAGTAGTTGTAGCTATGTGTAAGGCTACATTGATAAGCACATATTTATGACTACAGCTGTGGGGATATTATTACTTTCAATTATTAAATGTTATTAATGATTTTAGCTATATTGTTGTGGTGAACTTAAAATGGTTTACACTCGGGTACACCCCCTCATGTGTAACGGAAGTTATGTGAATTTGCAGTTTTTTTTGAGAAAAAAATCATAAACTGGCTTACCTGGGACACATGGATGATTGCACATCGTGTTTACATATTGGGAGAAAGATGAAATGAAATAATAGAAAATAACAATGTGTGACGCCCCTCAAGGGTATAGCCTCACTCCAACTCCTAGCCTACTGATTATCACAATATCAAGTGAGCACACTATTAAACACCAGCATTTTTGGCGTATTCCCTGCATATCTGAACAATGAAATTGGTTATGTCCGTCCAGGGCAAACACACAGGTATGCTAACAGTTAGGCTACTTAGCGAAAGCAACTTACATTGGTTAAGCTTTGCTTGAGTTTTAACTTAACACAACTATGGGAACCAGGGGCCGTGGACGTAGGGGTGCTGAGGGTGCTGCAGCACCCTGGGAGTGGAAGGACAGGGGATCTGCAACTTCCACAAGATTAAATACAAATATAATACAAAAAAAGATGAATGTGAACAACATTCATAATTAAGTTAAAGATACCCCTTTTCACCCGGTTAACATTTTTCCATTTGCCCTGTACGATGGGCCGCCATGTAAGTGATGAAAGTGGGTGGGATGTTGGCTTATCAGGCCGCCCGCAGCTCCACAGCCAGCGATGAGAGAGAGAGAGGATAGGATGATGTAGAGAGAGGGTGCACCGGGTTACCGGCGGGATTGTGGTTTACGCGCTATAGATAAGAGTATAAGAATGATGTTGTTATCTACGCAATAATGTGGTGAGAGAGGCTCTGCTGTCCTGTCAGAATCTGAGCAGACTCTCATACGTGAGTGTACTATCTAGGACTCTGATGGTGGAATTTACGATTGTAGTCAACTTTCGCCTACCTTCAGTCCTGTACGCTCCGTGAGTTTCTCAGTTTCTGCCGGTCTCAATAGCATGCACCAAATTTTGATCATCAAATTTCCTGTAGAAAAAATTATTTCCAAGGCACTCTTTTTTACTATGATGGTTTTAGGATATGATAAACAGACTGGAGGTTGTATTGAACATTATAATATTCATTCCCAATGTTACTAATATGATGCACAGTTAAAACCTGACATTACAATATATGTTTGAAAACTGTCTAGATAGTCCGATCTTAAAAATATGCAATGAATAAATAACAATTGCATAAAATGAGGATATAAATGAACCACAAAATAAAGGTTAGCCTACATTTATTATTGGCTATGTAGGTAATTGGTTATGTTCAAACTTATTTGATTATTAAATGCAAACCGTTCTTTTTCACATGCGGTGTAGAGTATATTCCCTAGATCAGTCTCTGAGTAATTGGGCGTAAAGTGCACCAGATTGAAGCATTTACTAAATGTTAAAAAATCTTCCCGGGGGGTCCCCCCCGGACCCCCCAAGAGTGATGTGATAGTCCCCCCCCAATTAGAAATGTTCATCAATATACATACATTTGAAGCGCCTTTTTATATAAGCTGTCACCATGTCAATATGTTTTTCTCTTTTTGTAGTGTATTGGTCTTTTGTAGAGTTTTCATTGCAGTCTAAAATCTGTGCTTAGGGCCAGAAATTGCATAAACCGCGCCGTAGTGTCATCCCCCAGCAACCCCATTTGGAACATGTTCCCACGGCTATGCATGAAAGGAATGTATCATACGCAGAACAAAACCGTACACAAAAGGGAGGCAATAGTGTTCTTTCAAAACGCTGCAAAGAAAGACGGTTCCGGCGAGTTCTTCCCGACGCGCGAAAAGATATAAAGTATATATAGAAAGACGGTAAACGCTTTCCGCCATCCATTCAGAAAAAACTGTGTAGTAGCCAATGGGGAGCACCCTGAACGTGCCCCCTACCTGGGAGGTTTCGCCTGTCAGAATCTCAAACCAAAAATTAAGGAGTGCCAAACGAGTATACAGCTGCAGCGAGGAGCGAAAGTCTGATCATTGGAGAAGACCCGCGTGCTGGTGATCTGGTGCGGCGCTCGAGTTTTGATGGCAACCTGCGTCTGGAGTGGACAGGACGCCGATATGGAGGCGGCAAGGCACAGTGATAAAGGCGACGAAAGGAAGGGACAACAGCAAGACAAGGCGAAGAAAGCTGGGAGAGGAAGGAAAAGAGGGGCAGAAGGAGAGAACGATTGGATAGTGTGGAATTAATCTGTGGGAGTGAGTTGTGGAAGGTGCACCTGTCTTGATGAACTGGACCGCTTAAAGGAATAAAGAATCAGTGTGGGACAGTGGGATGTGATGTAGAGTGAAGGGAGAAACGAGTGAAGGTAACAATGAGGACCATCCTTGGGAAATGAAACTAATATGGAGGCTGAGAGGGAACGGTGCTCGGGGCAGCGGTTGGTGGGTCATTGCAAAAAACATTTATGAGCATCTGATGTGACGTCTCGTTCCTGCTGCTGCCTGTATTATTTGCTGAGTAGAAACGAAGGGTAAGGGTAGGAGATTAGAGAGAGAGTAGCGGGAGTCTAGAACTCACAAGTGTTGGTAGACGATCAGAGACATCTAAGTTGTGGCTCATGACTCTGTGAACTCGGATCTGCCCCTTGTCTTTAAGACGGCACCAGTGTTCCCTTATGGTCAGATTTAATAATAAGGCCCGCTCCCTTCCGGTATTCCCACGAAGTTCGATCTACGGTGAATTTAGGGACGGATGATCTCTGA